CCAGCGCTGTGGTGAATGAGGTCTTTTCACCAGAGTCCTGTGCTGTTTACTCTAGTTCAATAATAGCCCTCATTTTCCAATCATTATTCGCTCAGTCTGACTGCCGCTATTAGCCTGTCCGGCATGTCATTCATACCGCGCCATACACACCGGTGTAGAAATAGCGTCACAGCGCAAAATCATACATTCCTATGAGGGCTTATGTCAAACTCTGTGACTCTCATCTGGTATAAGCTGGTTGTCAAAAGTGTCATGCTCTAATGTCGCCTCCAGCCGGCTCTGCTGACACACTTTAGAAGTAAAAGAAACTTTAATTCAGCTGGCGACAGTTTGACCACTCGGGTCAGACGCCTAAAGGGTGATTTTGTGTAAAAACATATCTACTTAAACACGATTAGCTGGATGATCTATCAGACCCGTATTTTTTATTTTTTTTTTACATCTAATATCACAGACAGAAGCCCGGCAGCCAAAGTCAGCGCTGCCAAACTCTCCATTTTGATTTGGAATGCGGCTTTCCCAGCGTATGGGATCATTCGCTGCGGCCAATTTCTGAGTCATTTAAAAAGAAAAGTGCTCCAAAAAAAAAAAAGTGCGTCTTCCTGTGAAAGAAAGCGAGTGTATGTTTCTATACGGAATTGCGAGCGAGGTAAAGGCATGTTTTTCCCGTCGGCGCATTGACGGAGGTGTTAAGATGGCGAGAGAGGGAGGACGTGTTTGGAGGAAAAGGCCTGAAAAAGCGGGTTAAATGGAAGGAGAGGCTGGGAAAGAGAGAGGGATGTTGGCAGAGCATGTGGTGTGATTTGAAAAGCTGAGATCCGTGCGGCAGTGCCAAACACACACACCAGTCGAAGTTCCCTTCGCAGACTGGCTTTTGTTTCCATTTTGGCATTTTGCACCATCTTTATTCTCTGCCCGCTGTTCTATTCTCTGTTTTAACAAATGCAACAATGCAAATAATAACATTACTAATAATTAATAGATGATCAGGAGGAGGAGGATTCATTTGGTGTGGTTATTGTTGATGTAATCTCTTTTAAACTGCCGGAGAATATTAATATCTCTGGTTTACATTATTTCTGTTTGTTTATATGTATATGTGTGCAGTATATGGGGCATTTTGGTTTACCTCTGCAGGTTTTACTCTGCTGAATTCTGCCGTTTTTGACTTTCTTTCACGGTGACGAGATTGTGCCACACAAGTGTCTGAATATTAGAGGAAAAACAACTACAATAGAAAGATTTTCAAACACACACTTCTTGTGCATTTCGCATGCATTTTTCCATCTGCTTCAAATTAATAAATAAATATATTTATTTAATTTGATATGCCATGTGTTTTATCATAACTGCTAAGTGAATGAACATAAATATCTTTAGGGAAATTGTTATTTGCATATTTCACCTGCACACATTAAAGCAAAACATAACTATACTTATATATTAAAATAGTTAGAATTAGCATATTGTAAATATACTGATAAAATATATTTTTTTAAATTGTCATTTAAACACTTCTGTATTATAACCAATTCAAAATATTAAAGGCAGCATTACAAATTTGCTGTTAAAATGAAAGATAATAAAATACCTATAAAATGTAATTTATGAAAACGCTTATTTAAAAAAAATTGTATTTTGTTAAATGTTGATTTTATGAAATTTGATTATGAAATTGTGAATATATTTGTTTTAAAAAATTGAATTGAATTTTAATTATGAAATGTACATTTATATTTAAAAAATGTGCATTACTTAAAAATATATTTAAAATGCAAAAAAAGAATGTTTGATTCTTTTTTTTTTAAAGTTTTTTTTCCCCTGCCATCACTGAAGCAGACACTCAAATTTGCATTTTCTCACTTCTAAACAAATCAGCTATAACACACAGGCTTCAAAATATTCTTATGTCATATTTTTAAAAACAGCCAAAGAGTAAAAGCTAAATCCAAATGGACTAATATTTTTCCACCAGCACCTGCAATTAAACAAACTCTCTCTCACAAACACAATAAACACAGGAAAACCAGCTTCCTGAGTGCGATCCAAGCAACACCTTCACATTGCTGAAAGAGAGTCAAAAGTACACCCAGCTCCAAATCAAATCGAATGTGATGGTGACCAGAGCGGCGTGTCAGCGGTCAGTGCGGGTGACTGTCTGCTGTCGATCTGGTTACGGGCCTCAAAGCCTGGAGCAGCGGGAATCTGTTAGCGGCCCACAACACCTCGATTACCAGCCAAGAAGGAGCGCTGCTGCCCAAAGGCCTTTGATGGCAAGCAGTCGCATTGCTTTTGTCACGTCTGAAGAGATGCAAAAGCTCGGCTAAAAAAAAACATGATGCAGAAAATACCAACTATAAATGTAAAGTTTGCAGCTCACACCGTCATCAAACACCCACAACACAAAATCCGTCTTTATTTTTAAACTCCCGCTAGAAATCGCAACACCTCTTTCTTGAAAGCTGTGGAAACTAACCTGAATAGATGATTCGCTGTGAAACAAGTGATTTAACGCTTGACCGCACTTTAAGAGTCTTTTGCCATTCGACTATACACATCCATTTCCTTTTCTAAAAAGAAAAGGCCACCATTAGTTCCCCTCTTTTCAGCATCTATCCCTCTCTCTCTCCTTTACAACACAGAGCTGTATAGCCGTCGCCTGACTACAGAACTTGGCACCGCGGCCGGCGTTTTATCGGCTGTCTGAGCTGGACACAGCTCGATTAGAGATGAGAGCAGGCACATGTTTTTATCATGACTGCGCGATAATGGAAGCCGTATGACGTGGCGAGCTCCAGAGATGACTAACACGGGAGAAAACATCCATCATTCTGACAAACGCAGAAGAAAAATAACAACTTTTTTTTCTGGAGTGGCGCGAGACGGCCGATCCGAGGTGCTCGTCAAAAACTCCCATTAATCATCATCATTAATACAGCCGGCGTGCGGCGAGAAGACCGAGCGTAATTACGCCGTCGTGCTCCTGGGTATTTAAGCGCCGGTGTTTAAGGTCATTAATCGCTCCCAGGGGGCGATACGACACGCATCTTGTCAATACACCACAAAACAACCGGACCTGGAGAGTAAATTATACATGAATCGTGCCTCCTGAGCTACAGCGTGCAAATATCACAGTACATGCAGTTGTTCAGATGCTGGAGCCGAAATGTAAACGCTGACATTCAGAGACAGCAAAAGCAGAAGTGATCTAAACCAGAGCTGGCTTTTGGCAGGCGCTCGCCGTTTAAAACTGCAAATAAATGCAAATGTTTGCTTTGAGAATAATCTTCGCAAAACACAGGCTGCGTAAAACGGGGTCTGTCAGTGTTTAAGGGAAATGAACAAATGTTGCAGTAATATTCCCTCAATATGGTAAAGCGGATGTGGCCGGAACAATGAGCCACCGGGCAGCTTTAATAGCGTCCGGATTAAGACAGGAGATTCGGCCGGGTCAGCAGGAGATAATCTGAGTCCTGGCATACCGTTAAACAGGAAAAGAACGGCATGGTGAACCGGCTAACTGACGCTGAGTTCCACACGGAGCGAAAGGAAAACTCGGCATGGGCAACAAAATCTCTTTCGGAGGCCCTGCCAGCAAACAGAATTATGGCTCTGTGTCACAACAAAGGCGAAAACCGCCGTCAAATGTTGCCTGTTCATATACTCTGAGTGCACAGATAATAGCTAAATAACTGAGCTGCCTGTAAATAGCTGCAAATATACTATTGCGTTGTTTGTGCTCGTCTCTTTCTGTGTTTTCCAAAGAACTGCTGCCAATACAGTGACCAACATACAGAGCATCTGACAAATAAATACTTGCACCTGCAACTAAACTACAGTCACCAATTCTAACATTACAAAAAAAAAAAAACTTAAATATTTTAAATAAAGTTCATATTAAATGAACAAACTATTATTGTTGTAGTAGTTGCAGAAAGCATTATTTTAAGTGTTTAGAAATAATCCTTGACATTTATTTGTTTATTATTATTACTGTTAATAAATAATAATAATAATAATCCATTTTTAAAAATAATTAAATATTTTAACTGATTAAAAAATACATATTAATTGAACAAACTATTGTTGTAGTAGAGGTGCAGAAGACTAAGTATTTAGAAATACAATTATTTATTATTTTTATTTAAAATTATTCAATTATTTTGTTTATTATTATATTATCATTATTATTATTATTATTGATAATAATAATAAAAAAATAGAAATATATTTTATGTATAAATATATATTATTTCTGCAAATCTGGAATACAAAACATATGTTATGTTATATTTTACATTTTTATGCTGTATAAAACAAAATATTTTTACATTTTTATGTTTTATTTAGTCTGCATTTATCATTAAGTTGCACATTGGGATTTTTTATATTAATGTTCTGATTTTAATATCTAATTTTGACATTTCAATGCTGAGGAAAACAAAAATAAATAACTAAATAAAATACATAAATTAAGAGGTGTAAATCGAAAGTACATTCTCTGTCTATGAGAATGTGATCGTTCTGAATATTGGTGTGTTTATTAAAAGGCAGTAGTGTAACTAACCAGTGTGTGTGTGTGTGTGTGTGTGTGTGTGTGTGTGTGTGTGTGTGTGTGTGTGGCCTTTACACCAGCTGGGAGCAGGCCAGCTGTCACCGCCACAATACACTATCTGACATTTATACACACACACACACACACAAACTATCAAAGGTATGGGTGCATTATGCTGCACACTCTACAGCGAACATAACCTATAAACCAGTTCACACACACACACACACACACACACACACAAAGTCAAAAATTTCACACACACTCCTTCAAGTTTCATCGCAACCACACAAATAACAACAAAGAAATAAACACAACAAAGCCTATATTTGCATATATTTGCATTCAAGTACATTTCTGGAATACAGCCCGGAACTGAATCGGATCGTGTTTCCTGAACCGGGTTACGCTGCGGCGCATTTCAGTGTGTGTGTGACTGGCTCACCTGGCGTGTGGACAAAGTAGGCCAGATACAGGTCCAGTTCTTTCACGGACACTCCGATGTGGTGCGGCTGCACGCAGAGGCCGTGGTTGGAGCACTGCGGCGACTTAACCAGCCTCTCTCCGTCTGTGCTCTCCAGCGGGCTTCCCTTGAACAGGATCACCATCACCAGGTCCAGGCGCCAGACCTTGTCTGCTTGCCGCAGGCAGTCGATGCGGCGGATCTTGCCCTTCTGATCGGGGTTGGACAGCACGCAGCACGGCGGCTTCTTCCCTGTGATGGTGAGCACGAAGTCCTCGCGGAACTCCGGCCGGATGTCTTTGCGGAGCTTGGCGAGCAGACGGGACGCCCACTTCTGCTTGATCTCGGGCTTCTCGCCCAGGAGTTCGTCTTTGACGGCGCGCTCCTCATCCTTCGTCATGCGCTTCTCGTGCTTCTTGAAGTACTTGCGCTTGCGGGCCTGGAGGTTGAACCAGGTGTAGGAGAACGCACGGACGTGTGGCAGCAAAGCCTCGATGAAGGGATGAAATTCATCCTGTTGGATTAAAAAAAAAAAAAAAAGCTAATTTCAGAGACTTTCGTGGAACTTAAAAATGAATGTTTGAGAACTTTGGAAAAGGATGCATTGCATGCAGTCACATTTACTCATCTGCAAATAACAATTGAGTCTTGTTTTTGCATTAAAAATATCTAAAATAGTGTAAATAAAAGAGAATGCATGCTGAATTAGGTCCATTTGAATGCATTTTAGGATTTAAGCATAAATCTCAATAATTTTAGAGAGGTTCAAAGAATAAATATATTTGCCAATGAGGTAAACATAAGCAAAAAATTTACTTAATTCAGAATATTCTTTGTGGAAACAGGTTTTATCTTTAAAAAAAATTTTGCTCCTCAAGTACATTTATGTTGTTTAGGGATATTTTTACTGGAAAACAAAAAAAAAATACAGATTAAGAAAATTATTTTTAGCAGTGTAGAAATCAATTTAGTCCAAAAATATTATTTTCAAATTGAAATAATACATTCTTACATTCTATTTAGTCTCCATGTATCATTACATTCCATTAAAGCAATTTGATTATGCATTTTAATCTAATTTTGGCATTTCTTTCAATGCTGAGCAAACATAAAAATAAATCAATAAAATTCATAAATTAAGACTGAATAGAATGTAAATTGAAAGCCATTATGAGAATGTGTTCGGTCATTATTTTCAATTTTCACAATAGAAGCATGCATAAAGAAAAGTCCCTTAAGTTCAGACACAATTATCCTACACAAATACACAGACTTTAAATGAAATGAAAGTAAATGCAAATTGAAAGCTAAACGAGGCTCTTTTTCAGACAGTTTAAAGATCTCAGCAGCTGTGCAAGAATTCCGGGATTCTGCAATTCACAGAAAGCAGCTTCTTTAGCTCAAGTCAGGCCAAGAAAAGCTTGGCGATCCCCACGGCAACGGAAGACTCATTCAGCTCTCCAATAATACCTTCACCACACAACGCTCAGTGACAAAGCCTAAACCGCGCCACGGTGCCCCAGTGCCAGGGCCGCCGTGCCCCAGACCCTCTCCGCCAACTCTCGCCACAACAAGACCGCGGTTAAACTGCGTCCCTTCAAGACCTGCCATCAAATCCTGTCTGCGGGCTGCTGTCGTGCACAAATCCAGGCATGTTCACATTTCGACAATCGAGAAGGCAGATAGCACCGTGAAAAGCACACACTGCAGACAGGAGCAGAAAGAGAGAGAAAGGCTGGTAGTTACCATTTTGCACTCTCATCATAAATTTGGCACGCCGTTCAGGACGGGGAAAAAAAATCCACCCGCACCAGTTCTTTGCCACTCACGCCGAAACAACAACTGCTGGCTTGGCAAAGATGAAGAATTGGCGACCGAAAAAAAAAACTTGGGTAAAAAGGAAAGAAGACTGGAGACGCTCCAATTGCCGGCGGAAAGAAGTTAATTTCAAGATCAGGAATTTTCTTTTGCTTTGCTTTGCGGTTACAGGTAAAACTGGTTATTAAAAAAATTATTGCTGCAAAAAAAATTAAAAAAGAAAAAAAAATTGAAATAAAATAAAGGCGTGTGCACAAGAAAAAAATAAAGGCGTGTGCACAAGAAAAAAACAACAACTAGGAAAGCAACAGCGCTTAAAATAAACGCTTTCGCTTTCCAAATAATTACAAAAAAAAATGAAAAATCTAAACAATGCCGGAAAAAAATTCCTTGGCAAAGCGCAATGAGTGTTTTCTTAGATCTTTGGATCCGGCAAAAAACTCAGAGAGCGCGGCACACACATAACGCAGGCACATGCATGCACACTCCTGCGACGAAGGGGGGCGGGTGGGGGGATGCAAAGCACAGAATACGGGCAGGAAAAAAAGAGAACCGAATCAATGTTGGACGAGCTCACAGGACCGCTGGCAAACCCAAGTGCTGCTGCTTTTTTTACTCCTTTTCTCTCCAACACTCTCTCTCTCTCTCTCGCTTGCTCGCTCTCTCTCGTCCTCCCCGCGTTCTTTCCTTAACCATTGCCTGAGTCTTTGCCAACACGAGTAGGGCCCACCTATTTGGCAACAAGATGCCTGTAGCTCAGCCAATACGTTAGCTTGAAGAGCTGAAAGGGAGGGGAAAGAGAGAAGGGGGGCTGGTGCCAGAACGAGAGAGAGAGAGAGAGAGAGAGAGAGAGAGCATGCAGTCCAGTCCGGTGGTGCACAATTTGCCAGTTTGACAAGTTCCTATCCACCACCGAGGCAAAGTTCAGCATCCCATCAAGCTAGTCATGGCAACCGTGTTGTTAAGTCTGGGTCGCGGTCGCCGCGGCTTGCGTAACACCACCTTGGCACAGGCCGACGGGAGAAAGCGCACCGCTCTCTCAGAAACTCCCAGCAGACCCTGCAGCCGGCAGCTGCTCGTGGATTTAGAGGCCGAGACAAAGAGGAAAGCGACCGCGCACCCCTCGCTCCCTGTGTGCATCTCTAATTTAAAACAAACATATGCTGTGCTTGTCTGAGAAAACGAGGAGCTCAGGCTGAATGCAGCAGGCCGAAGGACGCGAGACCTGAAGTTGCTCACAAAACTTCGAAAAGTTGTTCGGAACGATGTCCCTGCAAAAAAAAAAAAAAATCTATTTTAACACAAGTTGTGTCAGCTTCAAAATCTCCCATCAGCCATTTTTAGAAATTAAAAAAATGGTCAAGCACTAATGAGTATATAAGATCACTTCAAGCCCAAATGCAAGCACTGTTTTGTCACATTTGGAAGGCTTTTGTGCAAATTTTAATGTGCATCAGAAATTTGCCAACGAATGCTCTAAAATGCATTTCAAACGTCATGATTTCCTTGACTGAGAGTGTAAATGCTGCTTTTTTATTTTTTTTTACACGCAATCATAATCATCTATCTGAGTTTTGGGAATACTTTAATCTTGCGATCAAAAAGAATATAAAACAGCAGCTGCTCACAGCATAAAGTAGAGCAGAGAGATATTCAGATCTGAGACGAAACGAGACGTAGACGGAGCTGTTGATCAATTCTTGCTGATGATTTCTTAAAAAAAAAGACTGGATGCTGTTCTTCCCACAAAAACAGGGAAATTGATTTGAAATGCTGGATTAGCACACATATGCAAATATCTCTTAAATCTGAGATACCAAGAAAACATCATTGGACGGATGTATGGTGATAACGCTCTCCCATTGCAGTAAAACTCTTCATTAGTGCTTCCTCTTTCAAATCTGAGCCTAGTGTCAAAACCAACACCTGCTTGAGGTCTCTAATCAGATGCTAATTGAAGCACAACCAGAGGAGAGCAGAATTTGTTTATGAATGCATTTGTTTTCAATAAAAGCAGCACCTTTATTTCAAACAATCCCTTCTCTGTTTGAAACACAGCCCTTAATGGCTTCCTCTAGTGCTACCAGTGCGAGTATGAGATAATTAGCTTCTGATCAACATGTGCGTTTGGAAATTCACTTGCTTAAAGCACAATTCACTTCATCTATAGAACGGCGGCGCCAGAGAATAAAGCGCTTTTACAAATCAAAAACAGATTGTATTTTTTAAATAATATTTTAATGAATTAAAAGTCAGTTAAGCTATTAAAATAATTTAAATAGTATTCATTAATACTATTTAAATTTCAGTTGTGGGCTAACTGAAATTGTTGTTGTAAGATAAACAGATATCCAATCTAAACAATCTTTACCTACGACCACAACGCACTCCAGCTTGTTATTCCTGCCAAAAACGCAATAAATTACGAAAGAAAGAAGAAGAAAAAATCAAGGACACACAAACATCTGAAGCGCCGTGAAATTTGTGAAAACAAAGACGCGGGTCCAGATATTCAGTAGGCTATCCAACTGACAGTTGCGGCTATATATTAATACGCCAGGTTGCTTGGCAACCGTAAATAGCCTACGGTTATTCGGCTAATGAACTATATTACTTGGCGGAAGAACTGTTCGTTGTTATTACTATCAATAAATGATATTATTATATTATATAAATACGTCCTCATTTGTAAGTCGTTTTGGATAAAAGCGTCTGCTAAATGACTAAACAAACCAAAATAAAACGAACAATTTCTTGAACACTTAATAACATACTGTAAACGCACAGGAGTTAAACCTCTCGTGACGGTTTTATTCTACGCATGAGCCTGTCATCTCTTTTCAAACGTATACAAAGACACTAATAAGCTAATAACTCAATGGGAGGGATAAAAGTGTCTTAAAATGTTTGTAGCAAAACATCGCATATCATCAACTTGTATCAGTCCTGTCATCAAAACCCAACAAACCATGGCCTGGTTTCTCACCTACAGTCCCAGCACGAGTCGCAGTGCTCCTTATAGAGGTCAGGGACATCCTGAAATACGGTTAAGAGTTAGTAAAGCGGCGTTTAGCGCTCAGTGACTTGTTTCTCAGCGTTTAACATCAGCAGCGCGTTTATGGAGGACGAAACCTGCAAAAACAATAAATAAATAAATACACAAATAAATAAATATGCAAATAAATAAATAAATGTCTGTATAAATGCACACATTCTTGTTTAAATACATATAGAAATAATTAAACATGTGATTAAAGTAGGCAAATATATAAAATAAATTGGTGGGCAAATGGAAAATGTTTAAGGAAATGCTAAACTCATCCTATTTATTTTTCTTTTGATCACTCATTTATTTCTGAATGTAGTTCCACATTTATTTTTCCTCTGCGCAACATGCTAATGAGAGGGTGTCAACCATGGACTTGGTCGGGTCTTGTGATGGCTGGGGGCCGGCTTTCCCGCTGACAGGAGATGCATGGTGTTCATCCAGTATGGCCTACGTAAAGTCACTTTTTCCGTTCAACAGAGCAAGATACATAAAAAACTGAGCTGTATTGTCCGTACAGTATCTGTGACTTTACAACTCTGCGCAACATGCTAATGAGAGGGTGTCAACCATGGACTTGGTCGGGTCTTGTGATAGCTGGGGGCCGGCTTTCCCGCTGACAGGAGATGCATGGTGTTCATCCAGTATGGGCTACGTAAAGTCACTTTTTCCGTTCAACAGAGCAAGATACATAAAAAACTGAGCTGTATTGTCCGTACAGTATCTGTGACTTTACAAACGACCCAATGAAATGGCCAGTGTCGTTTCCTGACGTCATTTTTTGTAACCCGATTGAGTCTCCAGCTAGAGACAACTGTAATATCAGCATCCCATGGTCATCGTGAGATGACTGGTATGAAGTGGTTTAATCGAGGAACTTTTTTTTCCATTAGTTATCAGAACAGAAAATGCAGGCGACAAAAGTATGTTTATTAAGCAAATAACGGTTCAGTATTGCAATTAAGAGCATTAATATTTTACATTGGCCACTTAAAATCTTTTATGATTTAGCTCTCTCATGATTATAACTACAAAACTAACCCTATGAAAAAGTGTAAGATAATAATCAGTCCCCTTGACTGATGAAGTTAATACGCATGCGCAGGCAAACGCTCAAGCGCGTCACACACGATCCGCCTACTCTTGCATAATTAACACCCTCTCATTAGCATGTTGCACAGAGGGGAAAAAAATGTGGAACTACATTCAGAAATAAATGACTGATTAAAAGAAAATAGTTAGGATGAGTTTAGCATTTCCTTAAACATTTTCCATTTGCCCACCAATTTATATTATTTATTTGCCTACTTTCATCACATCACATAATTATTTCTATATGTATTTAAACAAGAATACGTGTATTTATGCACACATTTATTTATTTATTTGTTGTTTTTGCAGGTTTCGTCCTCCATACGCGTTACACCTGCGCGTCACGTCCGCCATTTCGACCACAATTTATGAGGAGCCCAAGATTTCTGCCAGCCCAATTAAAAATAATCGCCGTGTTATTTTTTCCCCTTCGCCTGTTCCTGCAACATTAATGCTTAAAAGAGAGAAGACATCATCTCTCAAGTGTGTGCCAGCAGTCGGGTGGAAATGAACGAGCTGGAAAGAGTGTCTGGTGTCGGGCGCCAGAGAATCATTTGTGTTAGTTTGTCACTGACGGTAAAATCAATTAATAATAGCAAAAACACACCCAAGCACCTTCCAATCAATGCAGAAAAAAAACTGTTCGGCCAAAGAAAATTACTTGATCATCCAAGTAGCCTACGCGCAGTTTTGGAGGTTGTGGCATAAATGATTGGCATATAGGCCTAGGCTATATTATAACCAACGCATTTTTTTTTTCTTGCCATAAGCCTACTATG